GTGTTCGCGCTGCAAACCGGGCTGCCCTGGGCGGGAAGACGTCGACTTGCAACAGGCTCCCGAGCTAGGACAGGACTAGCGCGGGGACGGGGCRGCTGAGCAGGGCATACGTGACGCCGCTCGGCCTGAACAGAGCACACGACGAGCAACACTTAGCACGGCCTGCTCGAGCCACGGGTCACTCTCCTGCATTAATCAACAGAGGGCTTTTCCCTAAAAAGCTCTGTTTTCTGTAACTTTTACATATCACTTCTCATAAATGTAAAGCAACGTAAAGATTCACCTCCTCAGTGCTTCTAAGCCAGCTCAMAGCCCCTGGGCAAAGCCACCCAAGCCTGCCCATCACTGGACTGCAAGAGGCGGCGCCRCCTGGCCTTGTGCTGCTGAAGGAAGCTGTTGGGCACAGACAGATGCTGACGCCTGTAGTTGACACAGTCACACAGAAAACARTGAGAGATGATGGGACACACATGAGGACCTTCGGGGCTAGGCAGGTGACAAAACCACAGGGGGCCCATCACCTGCAAGCTCTGTTTGGTGGGACCGGTCCTCTCCTGAGGCAGCCCAACTGGGTCGTCTAGGTCAGGAGCAACCTACACTTTCTAAATCCTCAACATCAGAGACGAGGTAAATGTTTGCAGGACACATTAGAAATTAAACTCCTTCCCAGCCTTTGGCGCTCCGCACTGACATCAGGAGGTGGCCCCTGATCTCTTGCTCTCTCTGGCAAACTTCCAGCACCAAACCCCAAAGCTACACAGCTCTAGCGCTTGCTACCTTTAAAACTATTTTAAAAGATTCATTTAGACAGGAAAAATAAAACAGAAAAAACACTCCTGATTTCCCTTTGCTGTGCTCTGAGCCCTGCCTCACCTCAAAGGTCTTCCTGAAAGATCACAGAGAAAGAGACACGTATTTATGAGATGATACCAAAACACGGTGAGCTGGAGATGATTTGGATTTCAGTATGTCCAAGCACACTTTTTTTTTTTTTTTCCTTACAAAGCTTCTCAAACAGGAGAATAATTAATTCTGAGCAAAAGCTGTCAAAACATTATTTTTTTTTCCAGAAACACAAAAAAAAACTTGTTTTCCTTAATTTTATCTTATGTATTAAACTATCTTATTTCCATGCGATAGTGAGTGGCTACACTGCTCTAAGAAACACAAGCAGAACACAAAATCCATTTGAAAGGAAAAGGGAACATTGGCTGTGCCAAAAAGGAAAGGCAAAAAAAAAAAAAACACATAAAGAAGTTCTACAATGTCTTCAAAAGAGGAAAAAGAGCACGAGGCAGGTACGTCTACGTAGCTGTGTTTACCTCCGCATACCTATTCCATTCCTCAGCCATTCAATATCCTGCCTCCACAAAAGGTGTCATCCGGGAGCAGTGCAACACTGCGGGGCATGCTAGCAACACGGACCCATATCATTTACAGCCTGATCCAGTTCCAGCTGGAGTCACGGGAAATCCTGGTGATAGGAATGAGCAACAAACTGCTAGAGCTGTGATCAGGAAAATGTAACAAGTCCCCAGCACCATCCAGAAAGGGACAGAAAGGATGGCCACTTAGGCAGGAAGATTCTTTTCTCCTCTTCAAGAATAGCAGCAGCTAGAGTGAGAGAGAGGGAAATACAGAAAGTCTTGATCTCGATTTCATTGAAAAATCAGTGCAAATATATCAACAGTGCTCAGGCAATTCTCAGAACTCCTCACGCGCCACGGCTCAGCCTCGCAAGCTGTGGCTTGCGGCTCTGCTGTTGAAGATTTTCCTTCAACTTCTGAGCTGCTTCTTTACATGTATCAGCAACCACATCATCTACAACCCTACCTTTTAGCCTTTTCTTCCCCCTTTATTCTCTCATATCATATGCCAAGATCAAAACCACAAACGCATGCAGATTCTTATTCCTTCTACCTTCAGTCTCTGTTTGTTTCCTTTAAGGCAATAGTTTTCATTCCCATGCAAACAAATGCTGTGCAATATCACTTAGTCTTCCCTCTGTCGCTTTAATTTGTTTTGGGGTGGTCTTCTTTTTTTTTTTTTTTTTTTAATTGCACATTTCCATCTAATGATGAATCTCTATAGTCACTAGAAATTTGCTCAGATCAGAAAGAGCAAGCACTGCAATGTATTTCTTTATAAGCTAATTTGCTTGTTTAGTTTACAGCAGGATAAATCCACCTGGTTTCAGAATATTTAGACCTCAGCATTCTCCCTAGAAAACGTGGTAAAGGGGAATACATTTTGCACATGGTACTTGTGACAGGTGTGGGCYAAGTTGCTGATAGCACTGATGATGCAAAAGACCAGACAATGTTTTGAGAGCTTTAAAACCACGTGAAATACAAAAGCCACAGTGGAGTTTTATGATTCACTTGGTAGCAAAGGTCTCAGCACCTTGCATTTCAGCACGTGGGACGGTATCAGCAGATATCAGATCTGCTGAAACACACCAGCTTATGCAAACACCTGGATTTTACTGAATATATTGCAGTCTGCATTGGAAACGAAATTTGCCTCAAACACATTTACGGAACTCATTACAACAGTATTTTTGCCTTTAGTGCATTCGCCTTCCTGGGAACCTGAGACGAGCAACAGACACCTATCTTTGGGACACAGTTTTGCCTTTTTGAAGGGAAAACAAAGTAAGCAACCGAGGCAGTCTAGCACGGCAGGAAAGCTGGCAATGGCCACGAGCACACGAGCATAAACATCCTCCTCCTGCTGAGCTCATGCAATCACTGCGGAGACGGGGATCTCGGCAAGGGCAGGCGGGTCTGCTGTCCATAAGATGAGCTCCGGCCGGGGCGCAGAAAGCACACGCGAGAAGCAGGGCCACAAAGAGGCCGAGGGCTGCACGGGAACCATCAAAAGAGAGGTGCCCCAGACAGCCTGCAGGTGCCCACAGATGTGCTTTCGACACGCACGGTTATAATGCAGTGCAAGGAGATTTTTGGAACTTGAAAAGGGACTAGAAGGTCCAAATTCCTTTACATCTCATTTCATAGAAAACATCCTCTGTTTTCTGGTATGCAGCTGTCACTGCACAAATACATCTGTAAATAGCAAGAACTCATTATGGACAGGCCGGTACTTAAAGTCAGCTCAAAGCTGTTYATAAAAGAATTGTAAACAAAAATTTAAGAAGCTACATTTTGTCTCTGTCTACCTATCATCTACATTATCTTCCATTCACAGCTCTTCTCTGAAGTATGTCTTCCCAGATCATAAGGAAGTGCACACTGTACCTCTCTCATGCAGATGCTATGACTACAACTGACACAAATATGATGTTTTTCAAGAGAGTTTTAGTTTAAGAAAAGGTAATTACATTTTTCAGAGCCCAGTGGTAGCGGTTTTCCTGCTAAAACCCTCAACTCTTGAGTGAAATGTAAGAAAATAAGGCTTGAAAAATCAAAACTTCCCCTTTACAAAAAATCCWAGAGCTCTTCTCAGAATAGCAGGAGAACGGGAGAACACAACCTGCCAAAGGCGTTCACTATTTAAACACATTGGTAATTATGTTTGCTTCTTTAAATTCTTAAACTGCAACTGTACACTCGATTTATGAAAGACTCTCTTCCCTTCTGCCCCACTTTATGTTTAAAATCTAGTGGGGGCCGGAGGGCTGGGGGGAGATGAGAGGGAGCTGAGTGGGGAAGTTGTAGCAGACATTAGTAGTGAAAATACCTGACTGGTCTTCATTAGAAATAAAGCTCATTTAAAAATGCATCCCTGTTCCGTAACATCTTTGTGCACTAGTGTTTATGAATGATGATAAAAGTACTGCTCCTTAGTTTCTCTATACCTTACTGTGTGTGCATATATTCCATTTACATGACAGATTTAACTAGAGAGTCTTTTTTAAAAAAGTAGCCTGATGTTCAGTAAATCTGCATGATATTTGAGAAGGAAGAAGTCCCTCAAAAGGTGTTAATCCTTCACTGGGTATGCAAACAAATGGCACTGCATTCCTTCCTGATTACACTGAACATATGGCTGCTCTTTGATACTGTATGAACAACTTCAGTATTATTAAACATACAATTAATTAGATGTCACCACTAACGCGCTATGAACAAAGGACTGTGGGAGGTTGGGATTTGGTTTTGGAAGCGAAGGAATAAAAGAAATACTATACAGCCCTGAGTAGTCACCTGTAAGGGGCAAATGCAAGCTTACATATATATATATATTAGGCCTTATGTTACTAATGAATTCACAGCTCCATAGATTTAAGTGCCATATATTGATAGCTAAAAATATATACTCTGGGTTAGGTAGCTGTGAAGTTTTAGACAAGATGACTGAAGACTTTTCAACAAACTTAATTTGTGATGGTAAGTGCATGTGAAAGGCAATGGAAGCATTTGTACGTCAGCATTAACCAATACCCGAGGGTCTTCCTTTGGGTAAACGAAAGTTCACATTTGGGGGCCTATGGTTTTCCCATCTATTTTCTATGAGTTTAGAATAAGCATTCTGGTTTTGTGCTAAAACGCTGATTTTTACTTATTAGGGTCCTGGGGGTTGGAGGGGGTTGTAGTTGTTCTGATATTTGAAAATGGTTATGAATCTAAAATATATTTTTGAAAATCTAGATCTCTGCTCTCTTTTAGAGTCTTACTTTTGTATCTGTGCAAATGCATTCCTAATTCTTTCTATCTGTGTCATACTACATGCATACCATATTGCTTATGGGGTATTAGAAAACCACTAGACATTTCTAAGGACAAAAATACATTGAATGATACTTAGCAACATAAATCAGAATAACCAAAATAGCAAAATAATTAGATACAAAACAACATAGTTGCCAACATATATTGGGACTATTTCAGTATAGCTTGCCATTTATATATAAAATATACATAAATGGCTTTTTTTTTCCCCTTTGTTAACAAGACATATTTTAAAAGGATGGTTAAGAGCATACTAGTTTACCTATTCATGTACAAACGTACACTGGGAAAGGGAGAGGTTTACGTATCATTTACCATAGCAGGATACTGTTAAAGGATAAATTCTCCCTCTAAGATGGTGGCAACTATTTTTCCCTATAGATGAAGTATTCAAGGAAAATTTAAACATCTGATTCAATGCTAGGCATTTTCTTATACACACGTCTATTGCTACAGGAATTTAAAACCCTTGGAGTTGAGTACACGCTATTCTTATTTGCAGCATAAGGCAAAACATGCTCTGACATGTACATGTCATTATGTATCCGACCATCTCTGGAACAATATGATGCTGTAGATTTTATAGAGGACCTTAAATAATTATCGTTTCTTCCTCTTGATGGCAATGAATGTTTATAAAGATCAACCGGGCTCCGCCTAAGGGATAAGTGCTGCTCATCACGATACGAGTGCAGGAAGGGGTTATCCGCGCCGTGATCAGGATACAGGGACTTGCTCCGCTTACTGTCCTCGAGAGCACGGGTTAAAAATGGGGCCTTGTTGCTCAACAGTTTGCTTGAGGGAACACTAAACATGTTTGCATATGGGCTACTTTCTAGAAACTTCTCTTTGTCTTTCAAGCTTATACTACGAGGTCTTCCCATATCCGTTTCCCCGGCCTTATCGAGGATATTATCGAACGAGTGCTGCCTGCTAATCCTCAGCTTATTTTTTTTATGATATTGCAGAGCATTATTCTGTGCCCATGAACCATGCTCATATACTTCTTCGGGAAGTGATAAGTTCGTTGTGTCCTGCAGCATTTGATCTTCATCAATGTCATAGAGGTTGCCGGTCCGCAAGCACGCGTCACATTTATAGGGAGATCTGCTCGTGTAGTGTCCCGCGTAAGAGGGCAAACTGGAAAGGCAGCTCCGACAGTGCGTGGAATTCTGCCTGTACCTATCGTTCATATCGACTAAGGAAGCATTTTTATCTTTYAAGGTGTAGTGCTTTGAATAAAGTTTGTACTGGTCATTATTTGGAAGACTGTCTTCGTTATGCAGGGGAGTCCTGTTCATGTGCTCTGCTTTCCGGTAGTTGTCATTGTGATCTTGGTAAACGTCGGGAAACTCGATGGCTTCGGGAAGGACGATGTTTTCAATGTACGGGGGTGCATCCAAGCGGAATCCTGGCTCCTTGTCACCATCAATGGTGTAGATTTTATCCCGTGGAGAGCTTTGCTTGGTTTTCAGATACGTCAGTTCCACTTCACTACAGTCCTTGGGGTATTTTGATGCCACCGTCCTTTTTTTAAAGTTGTCCTTGGTTTTGTGGTGCTTGTTGTTGTTTTCAGCTTCCATATGGCAAGTGGCTCGGCTTGATGTCTCTGACGCATCTGAATGGACAATCTCTTCGGGGAGGTATCTTTGGCTTTTCAKTGAAAGCTGCCTGTTTTCCTCTGACCCATTTTCTCTTTGGGGACCTTGGCCCTGACGTACAGATTCTTGACGTAAAGATTCAACAGATTTCCTCCAAAGCTGCCTGGGTCTGGAGTTCCCTTTTCCTTCTGCTGCTACCGCAACTTCAACTGTGTTTGGATTGGACTCATTCAGTGTGAGAGGATGCTGACCTTGGAAAACGTAGTTGTTGAGATTGTCCTTGTGTCGACTGCCAGGAAGTGTCTGCAGTTCATTCATGGTGTCACCAAAGAAGTTGTCCTTGGTTTGAAAGGACCTGTTATCTGCAAATATCAAGTTTCCTTTATCCATGACCATGTCCATAATCAAGGAACCCCTTTGAATAAAATCTGCTGTTCTTTTGGGGGAGTTGATTCTTGAAGGGTTAATATTGGTCATATTTTTTGCTGTTCGTAGTAGTTTTAGCATGTTGGTTTGGGAGTTGGTCAAAGTAAAGTCAGGAGACTTCTTTTTTTCTTCGATGTGTACTCCATGAATGCAGCTATAAATACCCTGTAGCAGGAGCAATATAAAACAAATTAAATTGCTAGTTCCAAATYTCAAATACTTTCAATCTGTTTTATTATTAGCAACAAATAAAAAATAAAGATTGCTTATCTAATGAGTGGAAAGATTAAAAGTATGTATCCGTCCTTTTCAAATGTTATTCCATATAAGTATATGGAAAAGGCCTACCATATTTCTTGGCTCTGTAGAGAGGAAGAATTCCCGGTATTTCACAGAACAGTAATGTTTTCAGTAACGGAAACACTATTAGTCTAAATGAGTGCTTAAATTACCTTTCTAAACAAGCCTGCAGTCAGGATGCTTGCTTAGAAGTTAGGGCACTGTTCACTTCCACTGAATTAAAAAAAAACCACTTCTCATCATGGCATTTTAGCGTTCTCATTTCCTGTCCTAGTGTGTGTATATATATAAAGGTTTTTATATATATATATATATGTATATATATAAAATCTCAGCTCCTTCTAAAGCCTGAAATTGAGTTCATTTAGAGCAAAAGGCTAAAGTACATCTTGTAACACCAACCTCTTTAGTCAATCCTGTGAGCTCCACTGACATTTCAGACCCTGTGAACTTGTATTTCTCAGAAACTTGCCTTTGAAATACTTTTTTTCCCATAAGTGGTTAGGAGAATTTCACATGTGAAAAGCTAAAAGTATGGAGTTCAAATGCAAAATGTGGAGGTTAGGGTATATATGCTTTTGTTGAGATTCCTGAACAGCACAGAGTATTTTTAATACAGTTGCAGTATAGTCCAAATTACTCAAGAGGGTAATTTCAGTACATTTTAAAGCAATTAGCCACTTCAGTATCATTTTCAATTCTTCTCAGCTATAGAAGTCGATTAGTTAATGCTATGCATTAAGAAAAAAAGAACTCGTTTGTCAGAAATGTAAGARCAAGTATGAACTTCCCTGATTGTACTACAAGTATCCATTACCCAAGTACGTAACGGCACTTTGGATTTGGTAAAGTTATCATTAAAAAAGTCTTAACCTCTAATCAAACATTTAATAGACATTAACATTTATCATAAATGACACATAGATGGTGAGTTTTTTCATATAGCTGATTGAGGTTTTCTGTCAGGAAAAGCTTATGTCAAAAATATTCCAGTACTTTTTTTATCACTTAAAATCTACTTGTTTAAGAAATAGGCAAAACAGAGATAATGGTGGTCATCAATTCAATGCTTTTTTTTTTTTAAATGGTTTACCTATATTTAATCCATTTCCCATGTCTGAGCAACTTTAACACTCCTTTATCAAAAATATCCCCTAAACATATTACATTTCAGTATTTCATTTCTAATTATCCTGTTCCCTTCTAATTGCTATCCTAGAATGAGCTGATGGAGAAAGGAGCGCCCATGGAACACACGCATGTCCTAGACCCCTTGCTYACTTTGTCACAGTTAAAAATCCTCATTATAAACATCTAACGCTGGGACAGGAGGAAGACACAAGGCTTTGGGGAGGCGGTAGCTACATTTTGTGTTGCCTGAAGAGGAGGAATGARAGCAATACTAACCCTGCTGATGGAGAACAACAGCCCCGGCCTATCAGAGCAGACTCCAGTGAAGCAGAACCTAAGTTTCCAGTAGAACAAGTGCTCCCAAACGAAGGTGATTAAGCTGAGGGCCATGGCTGCTGCCAGCATGTAAAACACTCCAGCCATGTTGTCGATGTCCAGCTGGCTGCTCATGACTTCGTTCTTCTCGTTGTGGCAAATGCCAGTGAGCCACAGCGTTTCCAGCTCTTCCATTTCCCCTGGGGACAGCAAGCCATGAGGAGAGTTAGAATGAGGACATCAGTGCTCACGGGATAAGGCAAGCTATAGGAGTCCATGGCATTAGAAAGCCAATGCTGGTTTAAAAACACAGCACCTTCTAGTGTGTTGTTTGAGAAGCATTTTAGTCTTACCCACTGAGGAGCTGCAAATATAGCAGATTTTGTCTCACAGCACTCTAGTTTTGGCTGTCCTCAGATTTTAGGGCTTATGATTCAGAAGYAACTTTCTCCTGCTATCATCAATAACCACTTGCTACAGGGGGTTGAGCAAGATATGCTTCATCCTAGTGGATTCCTCCTTGATCCACACACACCCCGATGATCCATACAGCCATGGATACCCCTCAAACACGTTTTGAGGGATACCCCTCAAACGCTTTAAATCTGACATCTACACGTGGTTCTTAGGCCCCTTACACAGTCACTGGCTCAGAGCTCAGGTCTTTCCATATGCTCCCTAGAAAATCATGGTGAAATATATGAGGACATACGGCTTTGCTTCAGGGGAAGAATTCCCATGCTACAGTTCCCTAATCCCTACCAGTAGCCTCTGTAATAAGCAACACATTTTCAGTAATTATGGTCCATATATCCTTAAAGATCAGCAGAATGTGGATAGAGGATATATTGATTTTTTAACCACCTGAAAGCTGGACTAGAAAAACCGCTAAACTGCTGTGTAATAGCGGTTTGCAGGATGAAGAGCGAGGGCAGTTGGAAAGCTGCAGTGCACAGATAACCTGGCTGCATGAGCTGGAGCTGACGGGATGGGGAAATTGGTTCTCRGGGAATGCGAAGGAAATGAAGCAGAAAGGACAAATAGCAAGACACTTTGGCAAAGGGCATTTCGCAAATTTGCAAGAGAGATTATTCCTTTCTGAGATTGGTTTTGTGCTTCAAACATAAAGTGAACTTCTGGGTCTGAAAAAAAAAAAAAAGCCTTCACCAAAACTACATTGCTCAGTCTGCAAAACCCCCCAGAGCATTCCCTAGGGTTAGGTCAACCCTAACCAGTCTTAAGAGTCATGTAATCCAGGACACAGCAACACATTAATTGCAACAATATGGTTATTGCGCATTGTCACTACCAAGAGAGATTTCAGGTTCATTATTGCTTTTTCATTCTTAGAATATTTGGATTTCTTTTGTTTGGCAAGTATGCAAACAGCACGTTAAACTGTTCCCCTCATCTCTTTCATGTCTTCCCTGAGGTCTATAAATAAAATTCACAAACACTACAGAAAAGCAGGAAAAAATAAAGTCTAAAGAGAAAGCAATAWTTCTGGTATGTGCATTAGTATCCAAACTTCTGGCAATCAGCCCTCATTCCTTCCCACAGGAAAATTCACATCTCCCAAGATTGCCGAACATCAATTTGACTTGACTRCTGTGCCCTTTTGCAATTCATAACAAAATTCACGGAGGAATTTAACTCCCTTTTTTATTACTGTTTTCCATGCATTTCTTTCCCTTTGGCATGTACATCTGAAAGTAACTATTGATAATCCACTAACCTTTCCCAAAACGTCACTACAGGAACAAACTACGCYTGTTTGAGTCAAGATAAATGACAGAGCCCTTGCAAGCTGGGAAGAACAGCGCTTTTCCAGAGCTTCACAAATGCTGCTGCTGTAACATCTCTGCCCTGAGAGAAATGCAGCAACACGAGTAATATCCCACAGCAACCCAATTATATTGATTGTACAGCCCTGTGAATCATTAACGGATTGTATTTATGAAATGGCATTATCTGGCAATGAACAGATTAGGCTGGGAACTCTGGGCTCTCCATATAAATCAGCTACTCTTTTATAGCATTATGTGTATGTATGTGTATATATATTTATATATACATGTATATATTTATAAAATAGTTATTCATTTAACATAAGTAACACCTCAAAAGAGTGGATGCTACAAATCCGGCAAAATGCCAGATCTTTTTACTGCCTTTTCTGTCCRTTATTTATTTTATCCATATATACATTTAGCCCCCTGTTAAAACATGCCTTTAAAATCAAAACATCTCTGCTTTATAAAGCACGTTCGACTATAATTTCGACTTAACAAAATCCTCAGACCACAGCCATTAGCTCACAGAAACTCTACAGTTGAGTTCAATAGTCTCCATGTGCATAAATTTAATCAGCAAATGAGTTTCAAGTGTTCTGTAAGGGAGCCCTTGGAAATGTAAGGCAACAAGCTCAATGCCAGGCCCCAGTGAACCATGTGTTAACGGAGTCCAAGCCCACATCTCACAGGGGTTCTCAAGATACTTATAAATATTAATCAGACTTATTTTAGGGCTTTTTATACTTATTCCAGGCACCTATTAGCAAGAATGTCATACCACAACCAATTTCTACATCCATCCATCCATGAGGGGATGACATTAAAGATTAAATGAATGGCTCCAGATTTCAGTAAAAACATAGGCCATGGCACCAGTGCAAGACTACAAGATGAACAGTTCTGAATGCACTTGACAGAGAGAAGGTTTTATTTTCTGTTTAATGCATGCACAGTAYGTTTCATTTGCAAAACTCACAAATAACTGTGTGGTGGCCACAATAAGGTAAGGGCTTGTTTTACACCCCRCATCAACAGTATGAGCAACGGTTTTAAAGAACCGTCTTCCTGCAGGGAGCTGACTACCTTCTTCACTAAAATACAACATGGGCTTCTCACTAATCAACAGCAAAACTGWCCTCTCTCTGTGCTAATTCAGGATGATTTACAATGTTTTTAGGTTACAGGGCAAGCAGCACTTGGACATCTCTGCATCTCGACTGGGTTTGTCCCTACGTACACGGTGCTCCCGGCACCGTGCCCAGAACCAGCTTCTTGGAGCGCTCTGCCCCCAGAACCACCTTCAATTTTTCCATAAGGACTGAAATTACAGTCTAGAATTCACCATGTTCCTATTTTTCTTTTAAAAACTGAGCAATGTTTGCTGCTCTGCTTAAGCCATGCAGGATTCCCCCAGCCCTGGGTTCCYGGAGACACTGCTGGTGCCTTGCAGAGCCTCGCTGCTTCCCTTGCTAATCTGGAGGGAGCTCTCATAGAAAGCTCTTAATTCTAATCTAATTATTCTCACATGTTAAGAGAGAAGAAATCTGGTTCGCGTCTGTTCTGAATGCAAGGAGGGAGGTTCAAGGCACGATGGCAAAGGAGAGCCCCTGGTTGTGGCCRCGTCTGGCTCTGCCCAGGAGGATCCCCCGGCACGAGGCCTAGCGGAGCAGCACGGAGAGGCCCGGCTGCATCGCCGCCTGCGGCGCCACCTCGGACACCCGACACAGGCCAGTTATGAGCCCAGCCTAAAGGGGACAAGTGCCATCACACTCGCCATGGGGGCATTATTTCCCAAAGACAGGGGTTACGTGAGCGAGTTCACCCGCTTTTTCCTGTGATACGAAGTGCCCAGCTTTCAGCGTCAGGGCCGGGCTGTTTTCTGGTGGTCACTCACCCTGCATGTCAGAGGAGAAGGCAGCGCTTGCCCTCGGGAAGCCCCGTGTTCGAGGCTTTGCCTCGAGTGGAGGGGTCAGAAGCCAAGCGGGTTGAAGCAGTTTGGTTCAATAAGCTCATCAATTCTAAAGTGACCCACTTATCTGAACCATCCGGTCTGCTGCGTGTCACGCATTATATAAAAGCACAGTGACCTTTAGAAGTCGGTTTTCCCCCTAGAACCCCCAAATCAGTATCTCTTACAGTGTGAATTTTCTAAGTTAATTCCCTTGGGGGGGAAAAAAAAAAAATCCTAAAAGGAACACAGATGACTAATAGCAATAAACTTATCGTGAGCTAATGGCTCTGGTCTGTTTGACCCCATTACTGAAGGCTGAATTAAAGCAGAACTGTTAAGCACGACTTCCAATATTACAATCCCTCCCACTCCTGTTCCGCTGCACAAACACCCCCCACTTATGCACTCACACTCTCCAGTCACATTTGTTCCACCCAGTGCTTAAGGAGGACACTAAATATATAAACAGAAAATCACTGGGATTGTGGGTGTATTCTGCCTAAGCAGCACACACCGAAAATATGTCCTTATAATCACATACGTATTTCCTTCTCGGTCTTTACCAGCTAGTGTGAGTCACACTGCTACACTTTCTTATAATCTAGACAACGATTTGGAAGGCTTATGCTAAAACATGAAAAAAATGCAAAGAGCTTTCCTCTGCCAGATTTAGGGGGCAAATCTTATTTCCACAGTTACCTATTACCGCTAAGGAGTGGGAAGCAATTATCCACCCAGTAAAATAATTCTTAGTCAGTGAATTAAAGCATCCTAAAAGCACATGAAGATTAACCAGAATTGAAAGGCATTAGGAAGGGGATAACAGGCTCTCTGCGGGAACTCCAAGGCCAGTGTTCTTCCTCACATCTTTGTGTCTCTAATTGCTTTAAAGATTGTAGCTCTAAGGGTTAAGTGCTTAGCAGAGCCGCCTCTTTCCCTGCAGGGCCTTTTTCCTGCAAGGTCTTTTCCCTGGAGGGCCCTGCTCGGGCTCTGGGTACCTGGCTGATGCTCTCCCTGGCCCTGGCTCATCCGCTCCCACTCCTTTCCCTACCTTTCCTCCCCATGCAGCCCCTTCCTGTTCCCCCTTTTCACTCCTCTGYGCTGCGGGTGCCTTTTCTCCCACTATTTCTGCAGCTAAGGCAGGAGGAACACCGGGACCATGGGGAACCCCAGCCTCTCCCAGACGGAGCGGGCACAGAAAGCGGCTCCCAGCTGACGGGGAGCACGCAGCACTGCCGCTCTGAGCCAGCCCATGCTCTTTGCAGGGTTTATCGGGGGGATCGGAGCACATATCGCACGGCTCCGTGCTGACAGACGCCTGCTCGAGCGGGCAGAAGATGCCAACCCAGGCACCAGCCTGCTCCAGAGCAGCCCCATCAGTTTAGCTGCTTACGAACAACCAGCTGCTCCTGCTTCTCAATAGAGGATTAAGAAATGTTCTTCTGTTACTCAATAGAAGTATTTTCATTTCTCAAGTTAAAAGCAAAACCCTCTTGTGATCACAGCCAGTCCCACATATGCACAACAACCAGTGCGCTTCAGAGGATTACCTTGATGTGCAACTATTTTAAATAAAAGTGCAGATGCTAATTGTCAGCTGGAAGCCTGTACAGATAACGAGATGTGACGTGGAGACAGCGAGATGTGCAAGAACAGGAGTTCACTCGGGAAGAGACTTCACTCGCGCAGCCTTTACACAAGAAAGAACAACTCCTACCTCAGAGCATCCAAAAAGTTTCAGTTGTCCAAAGCAATTAAGGAAATCACTATCAAATGCAGATTCATCTCAACTTTCTAGAAACTAGGCTACACATATGAACCTGCACAGACCAAGCAGTGAACCATTTTGGGGATGATTCTCTTTGTGAGCACAAGGTAACTATTCTTCAAATTCCTGAGGAGCTCTTCTCCATCTTCCTTCCCCACCTCTCTTTTTCTCCGTGCCAGAGGAGCATTTGCATCACCCTGCAGCCAGCCTAAGCCTGGGGCTGTCCCCAACACACAACCAACTCCCACTGTACTCCRTCTAATTTTTTTCCAGCATTAACAGGACACAAATGAGAGTTAAAACAACTCACATGAGTGCAGGAGAAAAGTGCTGTGTTCTGGAAAGCCTCAAGATTTGCTCTGGCATGAACGAGTCAGTAGTACTTGAGTTTGGCTTCTATCAGTGAGGAAGAGGAAGAAGGTTCATACGCACTTGGCAGACATTTCATTCAAACTGAACTGGCTCGTATTCAAGAACAATATAGAAAAAAAACTTGATACATGCAGAGGAAATTTAAAGTTTTAAAAGACATTTCAAGAACCTATCTCAGCAAAGTGTAAATGTAAAAGAGACAAAATTGTGATTTTCATAGGCCTGATCAGACATAATTTTAAATAAATTACTTGGTTCTATCCAAACATCTAGCAAGTGTCATCCAAAAGGTTCTTTCCTTCTCTCATTAACATAACATTCATATCAAGAAATTGTGTTTGCATAATTCACTATGAAGTTTTTCCCAGATTTATGACACATTTATAATCATTCATTGAAACCATTCCATAACGAGATTAATTTTGTAGTACATATCTGGAATAATAATTCAGTACTGCTAGGTTTTACTGTTTTTATAGAGTTAGCTTTTAAAGATAATTAATTCTGCAGAGGCTGCACATGGGGGAGAAGCATTTAGACACTCACGTGCTCATGCCTACTTAGTTCAACAACCTCATTCGGAGGCCGGGGTAGCCTTCCCAGGACCTGCATCTTAAGTGTCYCCTTTCCCATATTTCCTTGGAGCCTCTCTTGATAACTTCACAGAGATGTTTAGTGATACTGCAAAGCAGTGCTGGTCTGAACACTGAGCTCATCCATGCTGAGTCACCAAAACACTTCCACAAAGCATAACGGAAAAGATCACTCCTAGAACTACTAGAATCAGATCTATGCTACAGAGATCAGGTCATGCTAGTCTCAGGAAATCACTCTTTACATTTCATCTGCCAGTTTCAGTTCACCTGCAGAAGAAATCTCAACTTTACAATGATTCTTCTGTACAATACAAGCTCTGTAGACAATTATTTGTTTTATTTTCAGCTACTAAAGATACGTTAGAAACATAWATATGCCCAGCCTATATAAATCCACAGCTCAAAGTGTATGTACATAGTATAAGATGGTCCCTCCTTCCCTCCAAGCCTTTTAGTTTTCCCCTGAAATTTGGAGACACAGTGATGCATATAGAGGCAGTCAGTACCCTTGGGATTTTGAGGATTTTTTTCCCTTGAACTGCTTCATACACTTTTATCTTCTATTTTGTTTATTTTCTTCACCTGTGATTTCATTGCTTTTCTTGTATGAGAGAGTATCAAAAGCAACAAAAGATAAGCATGAAGAAAACACAAGCTGAAAAGAATGAAAGCTTTGGTGATGCCCTGGCAGCACCTAGAGAGGAGAGGCCAGAATTGGAAAGACATCTCAGATCCTCTGCAAGGCTCTTCCAGTGCTTCCCGCTATAGTTTGGGACAAACAAGTCAGCTTCTCCAGTTCAAGTTCTCATCTATTTCAACATCTAATGTTTCTTAAYACTATGGCTAATTATTCACAAATAGAAAAACAAATATTTTAGCCAATCTAACCTGTTTAAAACAAGATTATATAACTGCCTTAAGCTTAGTTTTATGGATCACATACACCTTACTTAGAAGAAGTAAACATTGTTTCCTTCCTAAATAAGCTTCTCTAAGTCCAACAGACCAATAATGATGACACTGGTTTCTCTCCCTGTACATCCATCAGTCTGGAGGATCACGTCTCGTCCTGCCCTCTACCTACCATGCAGCCATAGATCAGCTTCTTGACCAKGCTGAAAGACTACGTCTCCTGAGTAAAAACTCCTCAGCAATTGCTCAAAAGCATCAAAAGCCTTAAAATATCTGAAACTCTAGCGTTAAGGCCAGCATAATTTCATTACATTTTGTTTTTTATATATTATATATATATATTTGCACAAATACAAATATGAAAACATTAACTATTGCTGAAAATAGATGCAAACACTTCCAAAGAGTGACATTAGAATGGAAGAGAATTTCTGTTTTAGCATCTGGAAGTGGTTTTACTCCTTTGTTTTGTCTGTTCAAAGACCTTCTAAGAGTCCRGCCATAAATGGTTCASAGCTACTAAAACTAAATTATCTGTGAAGAAARAGARAGAGAGAGAGAGGGARGGARRGRRAGRMAGAMARAAAMARASRGAGGGARGGARGGAGGRAGGGAGGGAGGAMGGRAAGGAGAGAGGAAGGAAGGACTGGCTCCTACCATCTCCAACAAACTGAAGGAGGGCTAGATCAATCTGTCTCTTCCAAGGTGATCCTTTCTGAAGTGCTATTCCATAGCCTGTGGTGGCAAAGATGTACCCACTTCCTATCGTGACAAGTTTGCAGCCTTCATCTCTCCCAGCTTTGTAATTCAGCACCGCTGCATCATAGATGAAAGCATCCAGCTTCCTGAAATAAAAGAAAACATTTTACAAACCAAATCATTAGGGACAGCAGTTGTCAGACTTCTTTTGCCCTTGATGTTAGGACCCCATTGAATATCATACGGCTTCTTTGATATCATTAATTACATATGCAACTCAACTGTATCTAAAATTAACAAGACATCTATTTTTAGTGGGAGGAAAGTAGGGCACATCAGTTTTGCACTTCTATTTTAAGAGATGTTGTTAACAAAAATACGGAACCCAAGCCACAGAATGTCTTGCCCTGTTACGTATGTATCTTTGCTCTCCAAGTGGGTAGCAAATATTTTGAGAGTCAGAATGGCATCAAAAGACTGAAGACATGACAACAGAGAATTTAGAACTGAAATAAAATGCACCACTTATCTTAAAATACTGAACGAGACTGCAAACGTGATTTAATRTTTTCTTTACACACTTTATCTTTTTGGTCTTTTCCAAAACTAAACAATGAAGGTGGAAGCAAAGCTTTTGTTAAGACAGAGGATGCTAATAACATATATTCGGTACAATTATCCAGAATTCTGTTCCTAAAAGAACAGAGAATATTTCTTTATAATTCATTATTCCAAGCATGTTATTTATGTACCTGGTGCACAGCAGGAATAAAGAGACTTGCTGTGGAAAATTTCAAGCCTTTCTTCTTATCTATCTAAACTGYACAACAAAACAGGGGAAAGCAAAAATACACTAAGGAAAGTAAAAAAGGGCAGAATCCTACAGGGAGAATTTCCAAGGATGGCTGTAAAGTTAGAAATGAGGAGAGGAAACATGAAAAGGACGAACAAGTTACACGGCAGCAGCACGTCTATGTCCAGGAAATAACACTGCTGTACCTGAAGAAATTCATATGCAATCTTCAAAGGAAAAAAGATCATATACATAATTAAATACTTAGATATGTAGGTATATATAGTTGCCTTCAACTACAGCCATGGTCTTTAATACTGCAGGATACATTTGTACCACTGTAAACCAGGATGAGCAGGACACAGGGTCAACAGGAACAACCTGTCATCGGTCCAGCCAGAGACCCCCTAAATGACGCCCCAC